TTACATAGTAGACTCCCACATTTTACATCTTTGGCCTTGCACTTGCTGAAGACCTTAAACATCCCTTTAGATTCACTGCCACAGTTCCCAAACCTGTCTTGCTTGGTATTCGACTTTCCTGGACAACCTTTGTGCCCTTTCCAAAGATTTTTTTAACACACACATTCTCCAGTCTTCAGCACCAGCCTTGGTAACAGTAACCTTTTTCCTTGCAAGAGGTACTGTCTTGCTTGTAGACATCTGTCTGGTACCACTTAGGGGTGCCATTACAGTATTCTGGGAGGTCACATTCATCGACACTGAGGTGGCAGGATGTGGTTGTCTGTAGAAATTTGCATTTTTTGCAGTAACATCTAAATGCATAATCTGATCCCTTCTTCAGCTGGCATGAGGGCAGACAGCAGTGATCCTTTTAACAATCAAGGACATTGCCATAGTCACATTCTTTTATCCATTATCTTATTCTTACAATATGGCTTTCAAAAGGAGCTTTGGCTCTCAGGTTTATTAAATAGGCAGCTCTCTGTGCTTATGCAACAACTTGTGGAAGTAGTGGAAGCTGCATTGCTGAAGCCCATATCTACAGTAATAAATTCATACATAGTACAGAGGTTCTGGCCATGGTACTTTAAGGGCACATGGTCATGCTAACTACTATATATAAAATAGATAAATAAAGTCCTACTGTATAGCCCAGGGAACTATATTCAATACCTTGCAATAGCCTATAGTGAAAAATAATATGCAAAAGAATACATATAGAGAGATAGCTATAGATATATATAGATATAACAGAATCACTATGCTGTACACCAGAAATTAACACAATGTTGTAAGCCAACTAAACTTCAATTAAAAAAAAAAAAAAGAAAACAGGAGATAATGAATACTTGACATCAGTACATCAAGAGTCCAGAGACCATGGTCTTCCAGAGGACAGTAGCTTCCAGCATTCTTGTGCCTCAGTCCTTTACCTGGACACTCTTAAACAAACCCCAGGTCTCCAACTTCCAGCTTTTCTCTCAACAAAATCCTTCCTTCTCAGTGATCAACATAACAGTGTACTCCAAAAGGAAGTAATTTTGCCTACACTGAAGACGGCTCATCTTTAAGTTTAGGTGAACTGTATAAATCATGTCTCAACTATTCTAGTGAGGAATAGTCCTTGAGTTTTATCTTTAAATAAAATAAAATCTCACTAAAACATTCTCCCATAAATAAAGCAAATTTTTCCTCTGACTCTGATTAAATAAGAACTACTGAGAATTGAAATGTCACAGATTTCAAAGATACAGGATTTGTCACATAGGTAAGATCATGGTCAAAAAATTTAGCTCCCCCTCCCACCATCAACCTCTGGAAGTAGGAGGATTTTTCCATAACAGAACATAAGGTAGTAGAGTGTGTATGTTTGTGGGGGAGGATTATCGCTTCTCAGCCTTTAGGCTAAGATCAAGTGTGGGAGAGGATTATGGGAGATTCGTCTACCCATTCCAGAGTAATTACCTGGAGCCATGGCATGTATTATGGGAGTGTAATAAAGGAGCTCAAATATTTTGACAGCTTTAGGTATAGTAGCAGGGGGGGGAAATTATTTTACTTATTTAGCATTTTCAATGGTGGAGGAAGATTGCCCTTTAAAAAAAAAAAACACTTTATTGAGATTTTGGTCCACATCCACCCAAAATGACAAAATTCTACTCAAGAAGGAAACTAATAACATGATACTTAGTGGTGAATAGCTAAAAGCGTTTCCTCTAAGATCAGTAACAAGGCAAGAATCCTACTCTCGCTGCTTTCATTCAACATAGTATATTACAAGTTGTAGGCAGAGCAGTTAGGCAAGAAAAAGAAAGAAAAGTCATCCAAATCAGAAAGGAAGAAGTAAAACTGTCATTACTTGCAGATGACATATAAAAAACCCTAAAGACTCTAACCAAAATACTCCAAATGTATTAAAGACATGAAAGTAAGATCCCAAACCATAAAATTCCTGGAAAAACAGACAGAAAGCTCCATGATATTGGTCTTGGCAGTGATTTTTCAGATTGACACCAAAAGCCAAGGCAACAAAAGCAAAAACAAGTGGAACTACATCAAACTAAAAGACTTCTTTCTACACAGCAAAGGAAATCATCAACAGAATGAAAAGGCAGCCTCTTAAATGGGAGAAATTATTTGTAAATCATGTATTTGATAAAAGGTTAATACCTAAAATAAAAAATGAACTTATACAACTCAATAACAAAAAAAAATTTTTTTAATGGGCAGAGGATCTTGATAAACAGTTTTCCAGAGAAGATATACCAATGGCCATCAGGTCCATGAAAATGTGCTCAACATCACTAATCACCTGGGAAATGCATATCAAAACCACAATGAGATATCACTTCATATCTGTTATCAAAAAGACAAGAGATAAGTTTTGGCGAGGATGTGGAGAAAAGGTAACTGTTGTGCACAGTTGGTGGGAATTGGAAAAGCCACTATGAAAAACAATATGGAGGTTCCTCAAGAAATCAAAAATAGGACTACCGTATGACCCAGGAATTCACTTCTGGGGATTTATCCAAAAGAAATGAAAACACTAACTAAAAGCGGTATCTGCACCCCAGTGTTCATTGCAGCATTATTTATGATTGCCAAGTTGTACAAGCAACTTAGGTGTCTATCAATGGATGAATGAATTAAGAAAATGTTACACACACACACAAATGGAATATTATTCAGCCATAAAAAGAAGGAAACCTTGCCATGTGTGACAACTTGGATGGACCTTGAAGGCATTGTGTCAGGTGAAATCAGTCACACAGAAAAAGGCAAATACTTTACTTATTTGTGGAATCTAAAAGAAACAGAAAACCAAAAAACTGAACTCACAGATACAGAGAACAAATCAATGGTTGCTAGAGACAGGACAAAGGGGGCTGGTGAAATGTATGAAGGTGGTCAAAGGGTATAAACCTCCAATTATGAAATAAGTAAGTCTTGAGAATATAATATAGAGCATGGTGACTAATTAATACTACTGTGTTGTATATTGAAAGAGTAGATCTTAAAAGTTCTAATCATAAGTAAAAATGTAACTGTGTGATGATGAATACTAGCTAGACTTACTGTAGTGATTATTTTACAAAATATACAGATATGAATCATTATGTTGTACATCTGAAACTAATATGTTACATGTCAATTATATCTCAATGAAAATTAAAAATAAAAGAGAAAACTTTAAAAAGATTGAAGTTTGGACATAAAAAAGCTAAATTATTGTTAAATCAATTTAATGCTTTTTCATTGTGGGCAGGATTGCATTCATGTGAGGTTATGGTGATATATGATCTGGATTTTCAGTAAATTATTTTTAAAAAATTTCTCCTTCACTGGGCCCCAGAAAATGATGTGGAATCTAATTACAGGCTATGAGGATATTCCTAAAAGTCCTCCTACAGGAATAAGAAGGGATGTCAAGTCAGTTCCAAGGAGGGAGATATCCTATCCGAGTACCCCAAGAGGGCATGACCCCTGAACCCCAGAAGCATAATATCTGCAGCATACAAATGTGTTTTCTTTTACACATTGTAATTTCCATTTTTTCCCTCAAAATCTGGATAAAAATCTAGAGCCTGGACTTGGCTGTGCTTCTAGGAACTAAGGGAAGGATGAGGTGTCTTTTGACCTGAGACAGCACAGAAAAGACAGTAGTGCTCAGGGAAGGCAGGAAAGGATGGCAATAAATCACCATCAGAGTTCTCACAGGAGCAGCTGGCTGGATCATGAGTGACTACTAACACAAACTATTGGAATGTGTAAGCATTCGTCAGACCCCCCCAAATATAGGAATCAGGTGAAATGATACACATCCTAGAGGCAGTCACACACAGTGCAGAATGAACTGTTGTCACCTGAGTGTTCCAGTAAACTGATCCTTGAACATGGAGATTTTACAGCCCAAGTTACATCTCCCTGCTCAGTCCTGCCTACATTAAAACTGGCACCTCCCTTATCATAGTCTTTCTTTCATTTGTTGGAGTTTGGGATTTTATAAACTTTTTGTGACTTATTTGACTCTTTATAAATATTTAGGAGTATTGAATCTAAGGAAGATTTTGGTTGTGCTAGGGAGTGGTAAGAGGCATCCTACCCCAAGAATGAATTTGGTCTTATATTTTAAAGTCAGCTCTGGTTAAATCATTCACTTGGTAAACACTTATTAAGCATCTACAATATGCTGGGCCCACAGCACTGAATATGATGACAGCTTGAAACACCATGATGTTAGGAGAAAAGACATTTTCAGCAATAATGACTACACAGTTTGTGGGCTCATAATACAGCTTAATTAAAGACATGTTGAATGTCTTTCCTGTCACGTTTTACTGAAAGGAAAGGTATATACGATAGTAGAAAATGTAGATTGAGTCACACCTGGGAAGAAATCCAGGTACCACCACTTACTAGCTCGAGAGAAAATTCTCTTTGGTCTCTTTCCTCATGAACAAGATAGAGATTTCATAGGGTGGTTGGGAGGATCAAATTAAGACAGTAAATGTAAAGTGTTTAACACAGTTCCTGTCACAGAATGAATAATGTTAATATTATACTTGCTTTATGCTGTCTTCACAGAGAAGTTACCTACCACATCCAAAGTTGTTACCTATAGTTGGAGCGATTCCTTCTGATGTCAGTCAAGTTATTAATTTCAATAAATAAAAAAGAAAAATAGAAAAGACAAAATTTTATTTTCATACTTTACTCAGCACTGTGGTAGGGGCCTCTCTCCTGTATAACATTAGTATAAATACTGAGGGGAAAGGTGGATAACATAAACACTAGCCTCTTGACCCTGGAGACTTCTGCCTTATTGGTTATAGTCCATCCCACAGAGTCCCAGAAGAAAACAGACTCAATAACTATACCACATGGAATCTGAAGACACGTCTAATCTGAATAGGATTTTATTTACTTATTTATTCATTCATTTAAAAACTCCTTGTTTCATGAATGCACACTTACAGTGCAAATGAGAACAATCTGTCACATAAGAAAACTGTCCTCACATAGTAGGTAGCTGTTACTTAAGTGAAAATTCAGCTACTAGTAATAAGTGCAGGTACCACTATTAGTTTGTCAGACAACTTAGATGAAAGATGGTATGAGCTAAAAAAAGGATCTGTGACTAGAAAAGTTAGCCTAAGACAGGAACGTTGATGACAGTAGAGGCATGTGAAGAGTTCAAGTAAAATGTGAAAAAGCAAAAAGTAGTAATATAGTTAATGCAAGAATAAAACCTTTATTACCAAAATGAATAATGTGACAGCGAGAAGCCCTCCTCCTACGTGAGTATAATCTTGTAGACTTTGTAATCCTAGCTAGAGCCACTGGAGCTATGAATTCCCACTTAACCTTTGCTTCACTAAGCTGCTCATCCCCACTCAAACTTAAGGTGTTTGATATATCAGGCCTCTTTCTCCCTCTGTTGTCTTACGGCTCTGATTCTTCCTCCTCCTCTTCCTCTTCCTCTTCCTCCTCTTCCTCTTCCTCTTCCTCCTCTTCCTCTTCCTCTTCTTCTGGGGCCTCCACTGGTGGAGCAGCCTCTGCAGGAGGCCCTTCTTCAGGTGGTGGAGCCGCTTCTTTCTCTTTCTCCCGTTTGCAAAGCCAGAAGATGCAACACATTATAATTGCTAGTATTATGAGGAAAAGTATAATAAATATTATTATCGCCGTATCTAAGAGTTCTTCTTTTTTGCTTCCGGTAGTGTTTTGACTTCCACCTCCAGCTGGTGGTTCTGATTCTTCACTCATACCAGGGGGGCCACTGTCCACACTACCACCATTTCCTGCAGTGTTGCAGTCAGGGGGAGCAAAACCACCCATACAGTGGCAGTGCTTCAAATTGTTGCAAACTCCTTTCCCGTTACACACTTCTTCTGGTTTGCAGTCATACCCAAGCACTGAATGATCACTACAGATGTGATTCATGCAGACACTGTTGTCTCCACAAGTACTGCCACCCCATGACGTTCCTTCATCCGGGATATCAGTAGTGTCATATGCATCCATGACCCAGCAGTAGTCATTTTCATGAGGGACCTGCAACACTGTGTACTGGGGTCTGATATCTGGTAGCTGTTTGACATTTGTACATACAACTTTACCGCAAAATAAGTTATTATCTTCACATTGAACATATTCTGGGTTACTATTCGTGGGACTACCACAGTTTCCAAACCTGTTCCCTTTCTTATTGAGTGACCGATAACACTCTTCTGGGGCAGATCTTGAAGGGTACCCAAAAATATCTAAACATTGGTTATCAGCAGTCCTGCAGCGTCCTTCAAAACAATAGTGCACTTTTTGACACAACGTACCGTCTTGCTTGTAGCGGTCTGGGGGACATTCTCCAGAGTCACCAAGACAGTACTCTGGGAGGTCACACTCTCCCACAGCAGGACGGCACGTGGATCCAATTTTTTCATATTGGCATGAATTATTACAGCAGGGTCCAGGATTACAGACTGCTTTCTCCTTCAGCCTACATGTTTCG